TTCTAAAAAAAATTTTATAAGTGTACTTAAAATAAAATTTTAAAAATTTTTATTTTATTATTCTTAAGATGTACACGGGAGATCAGCGACCTCATACTTTCCCTTCGTTTCAGATGAAAGAAAATAAACCTCATCGACATAAAACCCAATAGAAGACAAAATGTTTTCTTTGATATCGAGTATAGATAGATTCCTTTTTCTATAAACGATGCGTTAAGTATTTTCTACTCCATCGCCCAAAAGAAACTTCACGCACGTTTGAGTCCCTTTCCGATGTCCGGCTTCTTTTCTTACACATGTCATCGCTTTGAGAACTTTCTGACCCTGCTTCGTCAGAAGCATCGTTATTCTTCTAGAACTAAACATAGCCGAAACGATACGCTGTACTTGCTTAAAGGGAAAATTTCTCACGTTTGATCACGGTTTGTTTCATTTTTTCCGCCGTCAGCAAAAAAGTTTGTTTGATCTGTTCACGCGATGCTTAAGATTTAGTTTTTTTGGGTACCGTAATACGATAATATTCTCAAAGAAACGGTAATTTTATTTAATGTATTGTTTTTGTTCGTGTGCCTTTTTTTTCATAACTGATTATTATCCTTTACGAGTTCATATCTTTATCATAGGTATTAAACGTTTAAACCCTATCATAACTACCAATCGAAAACCGCCAGGGAGGGAGTTCGTTAAAACCAGAAAAACTGATAGTACTGTCAATGTGCGCTCATTTGTGTCAAAGGTGAAAGCGAGATTGCGTATTGCTTCGATTTTACGCTACAGATATTCTGACTGTACTAAATTTTAAAAGTTACTTAAGAATGTGAGTTACAATGCATGAGTCTATAACATTGATTATTCAGGGTTTTCGTATTGACTGCCCTTAATGTTTATTTTTTTTCAAAATTCTTAATAAAAATTGATTTAAAAAAGTATGCTCGTTAGGGGTAGTGTATTTAAATTTCAATAAAATAATGTATACATCATTAAAATAATAGAAAACGCTATCGAAATCCAACGAATCACTGCTGAAAAAGACGAGTTTGTAAACTACAAAACCTGTTTGATTACCGGAAGGAATAGGAAGGAGTTGAAAGAGTATTATTAGATGATCCCTATAACTTAAATCTTTCATTAGAAGTAATTCGTTAGATTTCGATAGTATCGATTTTTCTCTTCGTTTACTTGGAAGAATCATTTTCATTTTGAGGAATCATTTTCATTACCTAGAAGAATAATTTTCTTTTTGAGGAATCATTTTCATTACCTAGAGGAATCATTTTTATTTTGCGGAATCATCTTTACTACCTAGAAATATCATTTTCATTTTGAGGAATCATTTTTATTGCCTAAAAGTATTTTCATTTTGTAGAATCCTTTTTGTTACCTAGAAGAATAATTTTCTTTTTGAGGAATCATTTTCATTTTGAGCAATCATTTTCATTACCCAGAAGAATCATTTTCATTTCTGCTAGATGATAAACTACAGAATTATAAATTTAGAATTTCACGAAATATTAAACAAATTTTGTGATTACAGATTTTTTATAAGCTCATACATTTTTTGTAATTCTTTTCACTCTCGTTTAGCTCTTCATTATTTTAAATTTAAACATTCCTATTAAAAATGAATTGTTGTTCAATATTTTTTTTCGGAAGTTAAAATTCAATATTATTCAATTTTTTTTCTGGAACATCACGTGTACTACTAATTATCAGTTTTTACCTCAAATTCCCTCATTACATTGTTAAGCAATCTTTCGTGTAATCTTATTAAAATGAAAATTTAATAGGTTATTACATTGTTAAGCAATCTCTCGTGTAACGGTAATAAAATGAAAATTTAATGGGTATTGAGAATTCTTTTAATTACTATAGATCTTACTTATTAAGATACCGTGTAGCTTTCAAGCTAAATTTAATTAAAAAGTTCTTTGAACTAATTTTATTTCTAAATAAATTCAAAATCCTGTTAAATTCTTAAGGTATGCTAAATAGAAGCCTTTTGAGCGTGTAGCACTTTTCGTTTGTTTGTTTACGCTATTTTAACCTGATATTGCAGTTTCTATTAGTTTAATTGCAGCGGGGAAAAAATCTGAAAATTTATGTATTAAAAACTTTGCAATAATCAATTATGCCGTCTTAAATATTATCGCACTATTGAAACATTAAGATTGAGTTAGTGAACTTCAAACTAACAATGAGTTAAAAAGAGCTTCGCATCTAATAAATTATCATTTTAATGAATCTTTGATATGCATATTTCATTTCTGAACAGTTCTCAAACCAAAAATACCTTGTCATATGAATACTAAATAATTTAATTAAATTTTATTAAATTATCATTACTATTTTGAGTTAAATTTAGCTACTGACATTAATGAATTTTAACTTTTGAAACAAAAGGTGTTGAAATAAGATTATAGTAGAAAATCTAATTAGATTCCGTTTAATGGGACGATTTTTCAAACATGAAAACTATTATCTAAAGCCTTAAGAATCAACATATTTGTTAATCCAAATTAAATATTGTTATTAAACCACATTGCACTTTCCTGTAATAAAAAAAAAAGTTACATATTTTCGCAGCAGCCAGTTGTTTGTCTAGGGCAGGAGGTCATGGAAGTTAAGATTCCACAATTGCGTAACCAGCTGCAAGACGGTACAAAGTAGTCAGCATAGCGCGCTGGCCACATTTATTCCCCGTTCTGCGACAAGCTGAGACCTGTTGATCTGAAATGCCATTGCGTGTACTTATTTTCAACCAATTTTTTCTATGAAAAAGCGCTATTCATTCTCCATTAACCATTTGCTTACGCAACTATAGAGGGTGGACCAGAATGACTGGCCTCATCAAACTAAGCGCAGTAAGCAACGCGTTAATAAAGTAAATAGGAGTCGTGGTGGCGCAGAAGATAGAGCGCTCACTATGAGCCAGGTTCGAATCCCGGCGATGACTGGTTGATTCGAAATCCCCATCTGCACTGAATATGTGCTAACGTAAAATATCTTCAGTGGTAGACGGATTATGGGTTAGAGTCCTCTTGATGACAGGCTAACCGTGGGAGGTTTTCGTGGTTTTCCTCTCCATGTAACACAAATTCAGGTTAGTTTCATTGAAAATTCCTCCACGAAGTCAAATTTCTCCCAATACTTGATCAAGAAGTTCTCTTGTCTTCTGGATTGGGCTCAAAATCACTAGGATACGGAATTGAACACACCGAAGTCGTACACTGAAATATTAGGTCGCCTATTCAACGATGGTAATAAAATAAAATAAAGTAAATAGAAAAAGATACTCTAAATGCCATTACGGTTTTATTTTGGTTTGTTCCTACGATTTTATTCAATATATTATTTTGTTTTTCTATCTACAATTTTAAATGAAATAATTAAAATTATAATTTCTTATACTCAGCATTCTCTAAATAAAAAGATTTATATTCATTTTACATTCACGTCATAATATTTTTGTATTTTTTGTAACATTCTCATAAATTGTGTAAGTTTATTTGAATTCGCTACTCGCTTTATGGATTTTGCTTCTTATTTTGTACTGTATTTTCTTCGCATTTTATTTTCTGTTCTTTGGTTAAATATATTTTTTAACTAATGTGTTCATTTTCATTTCAATTTCTTAAGTGCTCCTCACACTATTGTGTTAATAAATTTTGCTTTGGCTATATTCATACAATATTAGATAGCACTCTTTTTTACAGATATAATCGTGTGAGCTGATGAAGAGATTATATCTTTTCATTATTTTGTTTTCCGACTTTTTAATATATATTTTTTCAATATAATAAATAAATATAAAAAGGACAAAAAATTTTGTTTTCCATGTTTTTTCTACATTTTGAACTATGTATATATATATACAGTCAAACCTCGCTATAGTGAACCTTCAAGGGACCGAAATTTCTGTTCACTATAACCGGGAGTTCACTATATCCGTCACGCAGGCAATTTAACTAATGGTTCCCAAACTCCTCCCTTTTATTACACATTGTTCAAATAAATGACTGAAAAATATTATGCAGTAGCAAAAAATGTGTTATTTTCCATTTCTCTTTGTCTTGCGTATAAGAAAAATTTAGTAATCTTTAGCTGATGAACAATCCTCAACATCAGATATGGAAAAACTTCCCGACTCTCAGATAATTATTCCTGAATTTCTGTTATTCCGCTTTTTAAATCTGTCTAACCTGCAATTCGAGCACATAAAAGTAGTCTCATAAAATCTCTTAGCAAATTCATCGACATTTGTTTAGATACTTCGATTGGTGAGTCACTTCAGTAATGCTTCTTCAACATCCTTGTGATCTGCTTTTCTCAACTTTTTTCTGCCATCTAAATTTTTTTCATGAGCAGAAATTATTAATTGCCTATTTTTCCATCTGTTACAAACTGAAGATTTGGATAGTTAATATTCCAAGCAAATATCAGCTATTGCATCCATTTAAAAATTTTCTGATTATGCCTAATTTATCATCAATGGAGAACGTTTTACGTTTACTGCTCGCCATAGTTAAATTTGAGACACTTGTTTGCAGGATTTTTTAAACTGAACTGAGAGCAAAAAGGAGTTGAAATGAGGGCTTTATCAACACATATTAGTGTCCAACCCTTTGACTAATAATGAAATATTGCTCATTCCCTCTGACATAAAATGCATATTGATCTTACTGGCATCGTCTGCCTNATATATATATAGTTAAAATTCATTAGCTACGTAATTAATCAGTAATAAGTTAAATATATTATTTCTCTACCAAAACTAATTGATTTGTGTGTATTCGTAAAACTATGTTAAGTTCATTGATTCAATTTCAGTCAAAAGCTCCACGCTTAGACTTTAAAAACGTGTTCTTTGCACACAGTCATACATTAACGAAATGTATATTCAGCTGTGCATACAGTCTAGTTTTTCTGCATCCTCTTAGTTTCTGTCATTTTATTCCTTGACATCGTTCTCATAATAAATAATACCCCATGTTTCATTCCAGGCCCTCGTCCGCTAGTTCTACATCCTCCATCCCCCATTTGCCGGTAAAATCTTCACTTGCATCATCCAATTCATCGACGACATCAGGAAGAAATGTTGCCAACGCCAAAAATATTCCTATTTCCGGTTCAGGATCGACCAATGGATCCAATTCCATGTTAGATAAGTTTAAACTATTTAATCCGAAAGACAAGAGTTCTGAAAAAACAAAAGGTAAGATATCAATTATGCATGTCCATTTTGAGTTAAGATTACAGGAGCCAATTTTTTACGACAATGGAGCCCTAAATGATCTAGCATTTTTGGGCTGAACCCTTTGTTATAAAATTTATTAGAAGCTGTGAACATACTAACGAAATTATTTTTACTTTACGACTTATAATTATTTTACGACTTCTAATTATTTTTATAATATTTAATGTGAATAATTTTTTTTAAAATTATCATTTTATCAATAAAATTCTTAAAATAATATGTATTTATGTTGAATTCGCAAGTCTGGAGTGGTATGTTGTATAGCTCTGTATTTGTTTTTGTTGCATACATTTACTGAAAATGAATTAAATAATCTGAATTATAGTTTTTGAAAAATAACTTATATAAATCTTGATTAGTTATCAGAGAATCATAACTCTTTGAATTGGGTCATTTTATTTTGAATTGAAATGTTCAAGAAATACTAATGCTATTTTTTGCAAAATTTGCTATATCTTTATTACAGACATTTTAATTGAATAATTATAAGGAAATTACCGAAATATCAAATGAATTCTGGTTTATTGTTTAGATTTAAATGTAATTACAGGTTTCAAAAGCCATTATTGATTTAATAAGTTTAATTTCTCGGAATTAGGTAACCGCTTAGTTAAAATATATATTCAGTTTTTAACCTTTAATACTTGTTTTTAGAATCCATTGCCGAAAAAGAAGTCAACAGAACCTAGACAAAAAGTATCGCAAATTACTATTTAAGTTATAGATTCCCATCTTTTTTTTTGCAAGGCAAATTTTTTTCAACGCCCCCGTAAAAAATGCTTAACAAGCAATTATTAAATAATTTTTAGAAAAAAAATTACTTTTTTTTTGTTTATGATGTGTTACATTTTTAATCCTACTGTTAATATTTTGAAAATTGTTACTGATCACTGATTTTAGATTTGAAATTTTTTAGCATTTTTTTTATGGAATATGCCTTAAAAGAAATATTCGCTGTGAACTTTTAAGAAGTGTATAAAATAATTTTTAAACAAATAATTTTTAAAAAATCTTCAATTATTGTTACATTATGTGCATTATTAATGAAAAAGAATGATCAAAATAATTGGTTTAAAATTTAAAAGGACTAGTTTGAATTTTAAAAAGAAAAAAGAAGTCGCTTCCTACTTTTCACTTCGTCACTTCAAACTTATGCGTAGTACAGCAAGCAAAGTATAATTTTTATGATAAAATTAGTTGGTTATTTTTTTCAATATATAACTGAATTAATAATTGCTTTAATAACATGTTATTTATGTTGAATTAAATATAAATTAGTTTTTTAATAGAAAATAAAATATTAATTCTACTTGTACTTGATATCAAATGTACTTGGTATCAAATGTAATGTACTTGATATCAAAAAAAATGTTCATCTGTATATAAGTTTTTCCACATCCTCTAAAAATTCCCAACGACCCCTTAGAAGTCCCCAATGCCCCACCCCTTACAGAGCAATAGCACCCACGTATGGAAACTATTATTAAAAATCAAAAAATTGTCACCAATATATGACGTATTACTATCAAGATTTATCATAAGAAGGTTTGAAATGAAATCATCAAAACCAGATTATTCGTGGACGTTTTTTCCAATTAGCGATATTGAAGCATTTTTTCTATTCGAATACGGTTTTTACTGTTGTTCAAGTTAAGATATAGCGTAATAAAAGCAATTAATTAACAAAAATTTAAAAAAAATTTAAGTTTGTAAGAAATGTAATGTTGAATTTTAAAAAATTAATTTTTAATCATTGCTAAATGTTTTCCTTTAACTTGAAGATTACTTAAGAAGCATACTTAAAGATTGAACATTCATATTACATCTCATATGAATTGTCATTTTACAATTAAGTTTTTAAATGTAGCAATTTTTTCCTTCAAACTGAAACATTTGATTGCTTAAAAAAATCTTTTTTTGTCAAACTAATTAGTCGTGATATAAAAAAATATTTTATTCTAAATAATTATTTAAGTTTAAAAATTATTTTTATGCATTTGATCTTGTTCCTAAGTTAATAATTTGTTAACGTATCGTAGAAAATATCTTCATTATCATCATCATTAAAACTATTCATTAGTTTTCGTAAAGTAAACAATTATTTATGTTGTAAATCGTGAAAACATTATAGGTTCTCAAAATGAATCAATAAAAAAGTGTTTATTATTGCTTAAGTTGTTATTGCAATCACAAAATAAACATTGAATGTATTTTTATCCCATCTGGCTTTAGTTATGATAACAGGAAGTCATAAAAATCTCATTGAATGCTCTATTATTAAAAATGTTCTATTTTATTTAGCCTGTGTTTCAAAAATATTTTCCGTCAAAAGTCAGGAACGTATTTGCATTAATTATATTTCACATTTTAATAAAATTAGAGTTATCCTTTCAATTTTTTGCACTTTTATTTTTTAATATTATCTTAATTTGTTAATCCCATTTTATTTGTTTTCTCATTCTCCTCATTTATTCGTTTAAATATTTTATTGAAAACTCAACCTTAAATTAATATTTCAAGACGATACTACGTAAAAAAGAGATATAGCTTTTTTTTACTATAAAAAGAAATAAATGTTTTTATATGATAAAGCGAATATAGCTAATGTATCGTAATTTACTGATTTCAAAGAAAGGCTTTGGAATAAGATCATCTAATGCAGCAGTTCCAAAATGGTGTTACGTGGAACCTTGTGGACCCGTGGGAGTACTGCAGGTGTTCCGATAGTTTAAATTTTTTAAATTAGTAATAATTTTTGAAACTTGTAATTATATTTATATCAGAACAAGAAACCATAATTTCTTTGATCATTTGCTTATTTTTATGAAATTATTTAACCAGAATGCCAGTAAAAAAGAAGTCCCAAAATTTATAGAAATTGCTTTGGTGTTTCTCGTAGAAATTTACAACTGGGTACTTGCACATTAAGAATAAGAAGATCACAAATACCCACACATGTGACCTATGACGTCAGCTCCAAATTATAAGCAAAATGGCGAGTTAAAGTTGAGCTAAGTTTCTCCACATAAGTTAGAATAATAATTAGCGTGAAATTAATTAAATACATCGCCGTATCGCTCATCGAAATCTTTTACTTAACTTATATTTACTATTTGTTTATATATTTTATTGTAACCGTGATAAATTTTTGTTTTGTGTACCTGGCAACTTCAATGCATATTTAGTTTGTTTATGTTCTACGTGGCTTTATACCTGTATTCGTTTTAAGTAAGAAATATATATGTATATATATAATCCTTATCAACGAGCTCTTTTACAAAAACCATAATTTAGCTTATTTTATGCATTTTCAGCGAATGTATGCACCAAAAACAAATTCAGAGTTAGACTAGTTACCACTCCAAGCCTGCGAATTCAACTGTTTGACGCAAATCCTATTATTTCAAAAGTCGTTCATTTTTAATATTAAATATTATCAAAATAATTGGTAGTCTTTCTTTGGTCAATATGTCCACGACTACTAATAAATTTGAAGTTCCGCTAAAAGATGCTCGAACATTTAGGGTTCTGGAGCCATAATATTTACATTAGTTTTATGTTTTCCACAGTTGTTGGCAACAGCAACAAGAGGACAAGCAGCAGCAGTGGATTCAGTTCAGCAAGAAGTGAACGGAGTGATTCTTCAAATAGCATTTGCAGTGAAACGAAAAACGCTCAGGATTCATCAAAAGAGCTTTCTTCACCTTCACCAACATCTCCACCTTCTTCAAAACCTCCTCAAATCGGCAGCTCTGTCCCTAAATCACAAGTCAAGAAAATTGGTGTGATAGGAGGCATTAAACAAGGTGTTCCAAAAACCAGACAAAGTGAAGGTAACGTTTATTAACAAAATTCTAAAAGTTATACCACACTTTAAAAAAAATGTTCTATATCAACCCGTATTGAAAAAGCCAGATTTTGCTTATCTTTTTTTTAACTGAATGTATTCCATAAACTTAGTTTTGTTGTTATTCGCGATTAAGTTCGTAAATAGCTGCTTGGAAAGCTATTTCTTAAATATTGTGCATTCTAGTGATTGCACTATGGTATCAACTTAAAAAATTTATTATTTCAATTGTAATACTTCTGATAGAATTTCATCAGAATGTAATAAAGTATTTAATTTATTAGTCACGAATCTACTTCAATAAGCATAATTAAAAAGAATTCTTAATTTTAAACTACCTTATTTATTTTCAATACACATTGTTACAGATAACATTATTAAAATATAATTTTTTTTATGGAATAAATAAATAAATAATTTCTAATTGTAGAACAATTCAATATTATTTTTTTAGGTCAAAAAGACCCTATTTCCAGTAAACTCGAACAACTGAAAGCCACATCAAAAATAGCAAAGGAAAAGAACAATGAGAAACTGAGCAAATCATTAGATAGCTCAAATAATGATAAAAAGACTGGATCTAATCCATCAATTAACAGTACAAAAAATTCATCACTGCTATCAGCCGAATCAAAATCTGATGCCTCTAAAAAACCTGAGGCAATCTGCATCCAAATAAAACCTGAAAACCAAATCAAACAGTCAAAAATAGTAGCTAATTTAATCGAAAAATCCTCCAGTGTTTCACCCAGTGCCTCAAGTGTTAGTGTTATCAGTGATGTAACAGTCATCGATACTGCTGGTAGTAATATGCAATCAGTTGATAACTCTGGTTCAGTTTCATCAGCTATGGACAGTAACTGTAATGGTCAACTCGTATCATCTCCAAATAGTAGCATACCAAAGCCAACATTAGCTGTTAAAGGAACCACTAAGACCACAAAGGAAGAAAAGTCTTTGCAAAACGCTGGATCAGAAATAAACCTATCTACAAATTCTCCTCCAAAAACTAAAAAAATTCACGAGCCCCCTGTTGGTACAAAGCTATCCAGGGAAGATATTTACGTGGCTGTTCACATAGCTGGCGCTAATACTCAAGTTATAGATACTGGTCAAAAGCCACAATCTGACAAAAGGAACATGAACTTTTCGAAATCAGAACGTGCCAGATCAGAAGGTAGGGCCACTACTCAGACAGGTGTGAGCATAGCCATGGTGTCGCCTATCATGAGTTCAAATCATATCAAAGGCAGTCCAAAAAGCAACTCAGAAAAAGCACTCAATAGCAGCAGCCCTGTTTGCGTCGATGATGGTAAGCCACCGAAATCTAAATCTACATCTAATTTCAAAATGGTTGATCCTATTTACGACACTTGCAACAAAATGGCTGCTAGGGAGAATGGTGGTGTGTTGACTGGTGATAATTCTACAATCTGGGAAGAGGGTGAAGATGTTTTGGTGAATATCAAACCCATGCAGCCACTTGTTCGAGCTTCACCTTATGGTTATGTCCGAGGTCTTGGACCGCTATCTTCACCTCGATCTATGAACGGCAGAATGCAACCAGGTTTGAGGATTCATTCAGAATATGGGGAAACTGGCAGGCTTAATTCCAGCAGGCAATTTTTGGCATCTTTGGATTCGGCTCGAATGTATGGTGCGGGAATGAAAAGGGTCCTGTCTGGTTGTGCTAGTCTGGATGCAGATTACGCCACTGATGTAGACTCTTACGATATAGCTTCTGGTTATCTTAGTGATGGAGAGATACTTAGACCAGGATATCCTTGTCGAACAGATGATATTGCAAGTGGCTATTTAAGCGAAGGGGGAACTCCTGTTTATTCCAGAAAACATATCGGACGTGCAAGAGATGCTAACAGAGAGCAAAGAATTATAAATGTCCTGCAAGATGACAGGTAAGAATATTGCATTTTTCTTTCGAAAGTTTCAGTCAATAAAAATGCATGATTCAATAAGAAAAATATCAAAAGTATTATGTTTTGAAAACTATTATATCATTTTTTAACTATCATATCTAACCAATAATTTTAATTATTATCGAATATATTATCAAAAACTACGAAAAAAACTTAAATAAATAAATATATATATATATATATAGCTGTATTAAAAATAAATACAAACTCAACAAGATTCTAAATATAACTCTACTTACATAATTTTTTGTAGTTTCAGAAAAGTAAGATTTATTTCATACTTCGTTGAGTTTTTCATTATTTTCGTGAATTCAAAATTAAACTACCAAAATTGCACTACCTCTTTTTTTCCGGTAATTCTAATGACATTCTGCCGTTATTTCAATCAAATTTCTTCTGTTTAAGTTTCATTCTAGTTTTTGTCCTCGTCAGTAGATGGCAGCACTAAAAGCTAAAGACGCTTACACTCTTTTGTGTTTAATGTTTAATAATTCTTTTTTTTCTTATTTTAATATAAATATTGTTTACGAAACAAGGAAACCTCAGTCTTAAACTTTTAACACAAACTGTTTAAATTTTTTTTCAGTAAAATTAGGTCTTTTAGGTCACTTTTCCAGTTTAATCTTACTCTGATTAAAATGATGGCAGTTTCATTTATTACATTATTTTCAAATTTGAATTTTGTTTTTTTGAAATTCTGAACTTTGTTTATTATTTTAATTTAAATAAACTTTTACTATTTATTTTTTAAAGCAATAAATATAACTAAAAGAGTTTAATAATGCATTTATGATGTAAATAAAATTATTTTTCAAATTTTTAGAACATATAATGTTTAAAAACCAGTTTTAAAATAACTCAAATTATTAGAATCTAAATGTCTTGTTACTTTTTAATTTAATGTGCTAACATTTTTTTCCTCTCTTTAATAAAGTCGAACTTCTCTCTGTAACTTAAAAAACAATTTATTATTTTTGATTTAATTTTTGACATCTACTTAACTCGCACTAAATTTTATAAAATAAATTCAGAATGTTTTTCTGTTAATTGTGTTCTTACACTATAAGGAAATATTAAAAATTATTATTAGATATTTCTAAAAATGGTTTGATTGTTTTTTTATTTATTTGTTAGTTTATTAAGAGAATTATTTATATAGGTCAAATATTTTTATAACATATTCACTGAAATTTAATAGTAGCTCTATTTATCCCTTTTTTTAACAAACATAATTTTCCAAAAAAAAAGGGGAGAAATTATAGAATTGAAAACGTTAAGAAATAATTGAAAATTTAACGAAATTTTATAATAATTACGTTTATTTGTTTATTTATTATTATTTTTTTAAATACATTTTATTACAAATTATATTTAACACACTAATTTCTGTCATATTTTCACTGAACTATAATACAGTCTATGCCCTTTAGTGTTGCCTCCCTTACACAGCGACCTTTCCATTATCGTTACCAATTCTTTTAAAATTCGTTTGATACTCCATAAACTCAATGTTATTTTGATGTTCATTAGAACGTCCACACTGAACTGTTCATCAATAAGCTACCAAAATTTAGTAATTTGATTTAGAAAATGTTTAAAAGAAATTGTTTAAGCTATTATTTCATTTGATAACACACAATTAATGTAAAACACTTTGAATCCACTTTGCAGGAAGAAAGAATCATTTATAATCTGTGTAACTTTTTTTTTCAATAATATCACTCATACTTTTCTTATTAGAAGATTGTATTCACTCTTTATGTGAAACATGTGATTTACATNTTATTTCATTTGATAACACACAATTAATGTAAAACACTTTGAATCCACTTTGCAGGAAGAACAGGGGTCTGTCCAGGCCGAATTTACTACCGTTTAGCGGTACCTTCACAAATTCAACTTTAGGAAAAACGGTAGTTTCACAAAATACTTTTTCTTCAAATTTTATTTTTGTATCCCTTAAGAAACGATAAATCTATATTTTTAACATGTTTTTGTATTGATTTTGTAATATAATTTTTAATTCTTCACAAATTATGTCTAAATTTTCACAAAATAGGTACCTTTCAGAAAAACCTAGACAGACCCCTGAAGAAAGAATCATTTATAATCTGTGTAACTTTTTTTTTCAATAAAATTATCACTCATACTTTTCTTATTAGAAGATTGTATTCACTCTTTATGTGAAACATGTGATTTACATTCGTGTTAACGCATATGGTCTTGATTGTTATCGTAGCACATGTTATTTATGTAACATTACAGACTCGTACCATCATTTCTTATGCATTTTTCATTTGTGAAATATTATTTAAAAGGGCACTTTTTCGAAAGATGCGTTAATATCAATTTTTCTGTTTGTTACGAAGTACTTATTAAAGTAAAGCATTGCTTTGTTAAAATTGATTAAGTATATTTTTAGTAATGAGTTAATACTTGAGTTTATAGCTACGGTATTTCTGTGCGCTCACGATATATTAAGATATGGTTTTAACGTCCGAATTCACTCTAAACACGAGGGTCGTTATATCGAGAGAAAAATGATGTAGTTCTATTTACTTCTTTTTTAAAAAAGAGTAATTTGCAAAAATACAGAAAAAATAATTTAAAATGAAAATAATACGAATGAATTTAGAATTATAATTAAATCATATTCTAAAAAAAAAAAAAAAAAAAAATTTCGAAAATTTACTAGTCTATATACTTCTGTTTACTACAGATTCATAAAAATTTATTTTCTGCACTTCTGGATTTAGTAGAATTTCTACCAATTAATTCATGTGACATTTTTCGAAAATTTACAAAATTCGAATTTTCGAAAATTTATTTCGAAAATTTCGAAAATTTACAAACCTATATTGGTCGTCGGGCTACCGAAGCGGGGGTGCCATCCCCTCCGCAGAGGATCAAAATTGGGGTGGCATGTCTTCGGATCATCCTCCGGGATGTTTCCCAGACCGTCGCCAATAGCCCATTGTGCAGCTCTAGTGCGACGTAAATTAACAACAACAACAACAACAAACCTATATACTTCTGAGAGTTCTACAGATTCATAAGAATTTCTTTTCCGGACTTTTGGCTTTAGTAGAATTTCTACAAATTAATTCATGTGACATTTTTCGAAAATTTACATACCTATATACTTCTGAGAGTTCTACAGATTCATAAGAATTTCTTTTCCGGACTTATGGCTTTAGTAGAATTTCTATAAATTAATTCATGCTACATTTGGCATTTTTTTCGAACATTTACGAGACGATACTTCTGAGTTCTACAGTTTCATAAGTATTTCTTTTCTAGACTTCTGGATTTAGCAGAATTTATAAAAAAAATTTATTCCAAGTTTCATATTACATCTTTTTTTCGAAAATTTAGTAGTCTATATACTTCTGTGTACAACAGATTCATAAGAATTTCTCTTCCAGACTTCTAAATATAGTAGAATTTCTATAAATTTGACCATTTTATCTTAATAAGAATGGTCAATTTTTTCGAACGAATTTAAAAATATTTTAAGATAAAAAGCGGCTTGAGGGTACTATTATTAATGACATCAACAGTTTATAGTTATAGTAATGAATGAGATGAAATATCAGAGAATTTTATTAAACAGATATTCTTTTTTATCTTAAGACAAATACAGTATTTTGTTTCAAATGTCCTTGCTAGCTGGCGAAAGACGAAATGAATACCTTCATTCTGTCAGCTCACATGAGCCCAGTTATAATGATTGAACTCTCAAGAAAAGAAAAACCAGAGCTTTTCATGAAATGTCTAGAAACGTTACAGCTGTCTTTTGTTATCTTTCTTGCCTTTCATTAACGTCTATCATCAGATATTCGTCTAAGATTTCTGTTTAATGTTAACCCGTTAAATTTTTTTTTCTTTTACGATGATAACGAACTAAAATATTTTATTTTGAAATATATATATATATAACATTTTTTTTTATTATGTATGCTTTAAATAAACTGGAATTAGCTATTCGGTAATAAACCGGAACGTGTTGAACGCTCAAATTTATTGAAACTTTCCATAGCAGAGTTTATTCTAGAATTCATTTAAAATATTTTCGTTTTTCTAAAATTAGAAAAAAATTCTGCTCCGAAAATTTGTGAAAATAACTTCCTGTTTTTGTTAAATTATGAAAAATCTCATAATATTGTGAATATGTGAAATTAAAGTCTATTTTTTCTGATGAAATAGCAGTACAAAAACCATATCTTTCAATGAATTTTACACGGAGTAAAAAATTCTGGTAAAATTGCCGTACTGTATAATAATGACATTTTTGGTTAAAAAAAAATTTTAAAAACCTAATTCTGGTAATAAAAACCAAAATATGCGGCATTTAAACCATTCATTCGACAGCTTTTTCCGTTCATATGGTAATGGTTTACTGGTAATACTGCTTTTCAAAATCATAGCTCTTATTACCCCACATTTAGTAAAAGATGCAAAACTGAAAGGTAAACTTAACCATGTCATTCCAAATTTTATCACAGATTATAAAACCATACTTTATNATGACATCAACAGTTTATAGTTATAGTAATGAATGAGATGAAATATCAGAGAATTTTATTAAACAGATATTCTTTTTTATCTTAAGACAAATACAGTATTTTGTTTCAAATGTCCTTGCTAGCTGGCGAAAGACGAAATGAATACCTTCATTCTGTCTGCTCACATGAGCCCAGTTATAATGATTGAACTCTCAAGAAAAGAAAAACCAGATCTTTTCATGAAATGTCTAGAAACGTTACAGCTGTCTTTTGTTATCTTTCTTGCCTTTCATTAACGTCTATCATCAGATATTCGTCTAAGATTTCTGTTTAATGTTAACCCGTTCAAATTTTTTTTCTTTTACGATGATAACGAACTAAAATATTTTATTTTGAAATATGTATATATTTTTTATTATGCATGCTTGAAATAAACTGCAATTAACTGCCCATCGGTTATAAACTGTTAGTAAT